TTTCTTTCTTTCTTTCTTTCTTTCTTTCTTTCTTTCTTTCTTTCTTTCTTTCTTTCCCTTTTTCCTCTCTCCCCCTCTCCCCTCTTTTTGAAAACCTCATCAGTTCATGAAATAGCTCCAAGTACTGTAAATGTATAAGGCATTTTAAGATGGGAAAATCTATATTAGTAATATTTTTTAAAAAAACAAGTAATTTAAGTTTTATATTGTAATGGAATGTAATTGAGATTTGTGGGGGGGGGAGAGGGGGGGTGATCCATGGGTTGCTGCTTCAGGGGCGGGAAGGGGGCCCACAGAGCCCCCTGGATTGGGTGGGTTTGGGTGTCCTCGAAAGGAGCATCGATGCTCTTCTGCTGGGCCGCTTCCCAAGAGTTGCTTCAGTTGCCTGTGGCAGAGTTAAAAGAAAAGAGTCGGTTTGCGTCTGGAGGGGGGAAAAATGCGGCGGCGTCACCGAAAGTTGAGGATTTGAGCGCACTGTGGCGTCCTTTGGCTAAAGGCTGAGTGAAGGAAAAGCGGCGTCCATCCATCCAGCCGGCAACACTCAAGTCGTCCCCCCCCCCCCACAGGCTTGTGCGCCTCGGACATCCTTCCTCCATCAGCTGAGTTGCGTTGCCTTTCGCACCCGGACTCATCGTCTCGGTATTTTGTGTCGTTGGTTTAAAAAGAAAAACAAAGAAACAAACAACCCACGATTGTAACGCTGACCCTTTGAGGTGCACAAAGTGGATGTACTTTAAAAAAATAAAATAAAAGCTCTTTCTCCAAAGAGGCTGCCCAGGCAGCTGTGAGCTGGCTCCACCGTACACTTAAAGCAACCACCTGCTGTGCCCTCGCTTTTTTTCTTTGCCTCAGTTTCCCCGTCCTCGTCCCAGGCCAATGATTTCAGGGAAGAATTGGGGCCTACTTGGGCAGTGGGGGGCAAGAGGAGTGGTGATTGGCCCTGTGGGGAAAACCCTGCTGGCTTCTGGCAAAGTCAACGGGCATTGGGCAATTCCTCCCGAGAAAGCCACCTGTCAGACGGAGGAGCCCTTGTCGTCTTCACAGGTGTCAGTCCCCGAGTTGTGTCAAGACTCTTCACAACCCCATAGGCCACTGCCTGCCAGCCCCTGCCCCCCTTCCTCCTCCAATGTCTCCCTGGGTTTGCCCAAAACACGTTTATTGCATCAAAGACCCTAACCCAGAACTCTCCAAACTTGGCAGCTTCCAACTCCCAGAATCCCTCCTCAAGTCATGTTAGCTGAGGAATTCTGGCAGTTGGAAGCCCACCAGTCTTCAACTTGCCACGTTTGGAGACCCCGGCTCTTGAGCTTCCTGGATTGCCCTAAACCAAGGTATCTCAGCCTTGACCGCTTGAAGACGGGTGGACTTCAACTCCCAGAATTCCTGAGCTGACATGGCTGGAGGAGGGATTCTGGGAGTTGAAGTCCACAAGCCTTAAAAGCTGCCAAGTTTGAAGACACATGGTCTAACTTCTGCTATCCCCTTCTAGTCTTCAGCCATTCTCAGCATCAGGGTCTTTTCCCATGACTTCCCAGTTCATCCCAGCCTGTGTTTCAGGATATATTGGGGTGGGGTGGGGGTCTTGGCTAATTGGCTAATTCTGATGTCTCTTTAAAAAAATTACAAGTGCCTAGAAAAATGTAGGGGCCATTTTTGTCCTTCCAATCAGCCCTTCAAAAAAGAGGTTTCCATTATTTTCTGCCCCACTTCAGGATGGTGGTTTTTAAAATTAGCTTTAAGCACTTTTGTTTCATGGGCTGTTTTCGCCACTACTGGCTGCAGAAGGGTGACCTCTGCTGTTCTTTGGGCTGGAACACATTTGCAGCAGCAGCAGCAGCATCGCATTCAAAGGGGCTGCATGCGATGTGGCTCACTCACTGTGGAAGCCAGGTGGATCCTGTCACAGAAAAGTCAGGATCTTGCAGCGATGCCCTCTCACGCACGCACACATACACACACACAGGTGATCCGTTGGTTCCTGTGCCTGGAATTGGGGGAATGTTCAGGGTTATGTTCAACCAGTGTGGTTGGTTTGGGGCCTAATGTGACGCATGGTTTAGTACCACCTATGAGGTAGGCTGCAATTTGCTTCTCAAACCAGGGCTAAGAGCCTCCATTGCAGATTCAGGCTTGGCTTGTGCAAGGTTTATTTAAAACAGACTTTGTCGCTTGAGTCTCCTGGGTTTGTACAACAAATGAGAGCAAATAGCTTCACACTCGGTGCTGAGTAAAACTTAGCTACTTAACTGAGGGACTGAATCCTGTCTTTGCATTCTAGGAGGAAAAAAGTGGACGTCCTACGTTATTTGGCAGTTCCACATTTTACAATCCTGCGGTGGCATGGACCTGCCCGTGTCAGCGTAATTATGTTCCACGCCACTATTGGCAGGATTAGACCAATCCTGGGGCAGAATCCTTTCTCACAGGCTCCGATGCTGAAATTCTACTTTGCCACAGGAGGTGATGTATCACCCAGAGCTGTTTGGGATTGTCTGTAGAGATTCTCCGTCATCATCCAGGTCCTGGTTGTCCCAAAAGTGCTTTTTTTTTTTCAGGAGGCAACTGGACTTTCTGGGGTTTTTTTTTTCTTTTGAAGAGGTTTCCCTTCTCATCCAAGAAGCTTCTTCAGCTCTGACTGGATGGTGGGGAAGGGAAGGATTGATACTCCTTGCGGACAGCTGGTTCACTCTCGAGTTTTAGCTATACCGTTTGGGATGGGCACCCTTGGAATGGCGTGGGGGGAGGAGGAGTGGATTTCCAGAGGGGAAAATTGCAGGCTACAGGAACCATTTGCACCACTCAGGTGACCCTGGGGACACAGATAAAACCTCCAAGTGGCCTCAAGGACCCTCCGGAAGGATGCAAATGACCAGCTGTCTGCAAGGAATATCAATCCTTCCCTTCTCCATCATCCAGACTTGGATGAGAAATGTCTTCGAAAGGAAAAGCCAGAAAATCCAGGTGCCTCTTGGAAAAAGCCCCTTTGGGACAACGGTCCGGATCGCCAGCTAGGTAACTAGCGCACCTTGGCAGGTGAGGACTTTTGGTTTGTTCGAAAGGCAGACCAGGGAAACGGGAGTCCGTTGATGCCGGCAGTTATCCCGAATCCACGGCCCCTGCTCTGGGATCTCCGGACCGGACCAGGAGGGAAAGTGCCGGCGATGGGGCCGAGGCCCGCTCCCTTGCCCCGGAATCGGTCGCCCGGTGGAAGGAAAACCGGAGCCCCGAAGCTCCTGCCCGGCTCCGGGTGGCGGGCGAGAGAGCGGCCCCCATCCCTCTTCCTCCCTCCCGAGGGAAGAGACGGAGCCCGGCCGGCAGCGGCGCCCTCTGGGCGGACGGGAGCCGGGGATTCCCAAGCAAAGGCGTCGCCCTCCGGACTTTTTGGGGGGAGGGGGCGGGAAGCTTGGCGAGCCTTGCCCGTTTTTTTAGGGGGGGGCGAGAGAGAAAGCAGCCTCCCCCGCAACGGTCACTGCGGTTCTACCTCGCTTTTCCGCCAGGAACGGCACAGGCTGCACCGCTTCCCACCGCCCAGCGAGCCCCCTGCGAGGTAGGCCGGGCGGGGCACGCCCAAGCGCCCCCCCCCCCCGTTCGAAGCGGCGTCGGAAAACGAGACTCGCTTCTCGCTGCAGCTCCGACGAGGCTTCTTCTGCCGGGCTGCGGTGGATCCCCCGCCGGCAGGCCGGCGAAACCGCGCGGCTTCTTTCGCAAAGTCAGCGGCGGGCAGGCGAACTGGCTATTGGGGGGGGGAGGCGGCTTTCTGGATCCTGCTGATGCCCGGAGGGCGCGCCGAGGGGCGCCAACGGGACCAAGGCTGCCCAGCCGGGCAGAGGGGCCGGGTGGGGCCGCCCGGACGCCGCGCGCCTCCCGCCTCGGCTGGGGACGGAGCGACGCGCGGGGGCCAAGGAGAAGAGGCGCGGACAACGGGACCGCAGCCGCCCGCCCAGCCGCATGGGCACCGGGCTCCCCCTTCGGAAAGGGCGGCCGTCGTCCGGCTCTTCTTCTTCCCCGGCCGGGCCAGCCTTGCAGCTTTCGAGGGGCCGCTTCGTTTTGATCGGGCTCCCGAGCCCTCGATCCCGGCCGGCTTCCGGGCATTCACGTCGGGCAAAAAACGGAGCCCGGTTTGAAAGAGTCCCCTGGCCCTTCGGCTCTCCCGGTGGGCGAGGAGGAGGAAGCTCTCGCCTGAGCAGGAGAAGAGAGTTGGAAGGGACCCTGGAGGTCTTCTAGTCCAACCCCCCTCCCCCCCCCCCGGCCCAAGCCAAGGAGACCCACTCCCGCGACGGTCGCTCCCCGGACCTCGCCCGAAGGGAGGGTGGGGAGAGCGGACGGAAGGCGAATGTCGGCCACGGTCGAGCCAAGGAGCCGCCTGGGCTCCCAGTCGAGCCCCGCAGGCGAGACGGGCCAGCAGCCACCCCCGCCCCCCCGCCTCTCCCCGTTTCCCGGGTGGGGCAAAGGGAAGCTCGGCTCCCTCTCCCGGCCCGGCGCGCTTTTCAAACCGACCCAACCGGCTCCATCAGCCCCGGGAGGCCCGACGGGCAGGGGCCGGCCGCTCCAGGGCCCCCTCCGCCCCCAGGGACGCGCTCTCAGCTGCCTGACCGACCCGTCGCTCCGCTGGCTTTGGTGCCGGGCGCGCCCCCGGCCCCCCGTTCTCGGCCAATTCTCCCGGGGGTGGGGTGGGGACGGGACCCGCTTTGCGCTCGGGAAGCAGTCCGGGGCTCCGAGCCCCTTTCCCAGCCCCGGGGGTGGGGGGGGGAAAGGAAGCGCTGGGGGGGGCAAAGCCCCCGCCCCCCCCCCCCCCCCCCCCCCCAAAGCAAGCAGGCGGCGTTTGATTCTCGGGTCTCCGGAGTGCAGGAGGCGCCGTTCAAAGGAAGGAAGGAATCCGGGGGCCGCTTTCAGACTAACCCGATTCGTTTCAAACCCCGTTTTCCCCGGTCTGAAAAGAGGCCACCGGATTTCTGGGTGGGGTTTTTTCTTTTTTCCTTTTCTACCTCTTCAAATTGTAGCCTAATTTCTCCTCCGGGTGATGTTTTCAGCCCTTTTTTTTTTTTTAAGAGGAAGTTCTCAGGAAAAAGCTAAATTCAACATACCAGGAGAAGCAAAAAAAATGAGACTTAAAACGTTGCACAGATTCGTTATAATAAAAGCAGCCAGTCCTGGTTCAGCTTGTGCTGCAAACCTAGGCAAGCTGTGGCTTATTCCGTAAACCAGGGTTAGGCACCGTGCAAAGCTTAACTCTGGAGCTTCTGCCTGTCCTTCCGTTTAAAAGAAGACTTCCACGGGCATCCAATTACCTCACGTCAGATATGGGACAATGACACCACGGTTGATTCACACCAGAGATTTAATACCAATATTTTATATTTTATAAAATGGCATGGCACCAAGAAGACCCAGCATAAACGTTTAACTAGAAAATCTTGCCATCGTTTTTTTCTCCCTAAACTCCAGAGGAAAATCCAGAATCATTACATCAAGCCATTACATGATTTATACACAGTATATAAAACCATTTTTTATCCAAAAAAGCATTAATTAAATAAGCCACTGCTTAGTATGATACAGGAATCCAATCAGTTAAATTGCACAGTTGATGCTTCTATCATCTTCCTGAGGTCTACAGGAAACATTCAGGTTTCTTCCACAGAAGATTCAGGGACATGTGCCGATTACAAAAACTACTTAGTGGTAGTTGGACTACACTATATTCATATACTACTACATTCATAGACTCTCTTTCCACAATCAAGAATCTTTAAATTTGCTTATTTGTAGGCTCCTTGGAGCTCTCTTGAACTTGGTGTTTTTTTTCTTGCAGACATTTCACTACCCAACTAGGCAAGATGATCAGTGCTACAAGGAAGTGGGTTATATTGGTTTAATAAAAGACAGCAAATCCCTCTCCCTTCTAGCACTGAAGATGTTACCTAGTTAGGTAATTAAAGATCTGCAAGCAAACAACCAAGCTCGGAGAGCACCAAGGACCCTACAGTTGAACCCTGAGCTACAAATATATTCTTATTTGTCTTTGCAAGCCCACACGGGTTGCAGCTCCCGAAATCCTCTAGCAGCAGAAGACAATTTTTTGAGCACGAGGGAGAATGTTTTCTCCTCAAATAGGGTGAGAGGGATGTTGGTTTATTTGGGGAAGATCACAAGTCCCATCCCGAAACCCTCACCCAGCTGACAACAAAAAAAGCTCTTTGCATCGCTTTAGGCCCCAATTTCCCGGAGCAGGTGCCAGCTTCACTACAGCAGCAAAGCAATACTGGAGGCCATTCTAAACTCCAGTATTTACGTGCTGCTAAAGCACAGCAGGCAGATCTTTACGTTTCTGCAGCCCGCCCTGGGAGTAACAAAAAAAGGACTGATGGCTCACCCAAGCCCTGGTGGGGTTAAAAAAAAAAAAAGATCATAGGGGATTTCGGAAGACAATTCAGAGTGAAATCTTGAAATATCTTTTGACTTGGGAGTAGCTCTCATGAGTTTGAAGCTCTGCTTCCCGGGAACTGTGTTGTCCTGCGAGCAGCGTGCAATCCAGGGCTTAATTCTGCTGGGAATAAAAAACGCCCAAGGAGAGATGCTAGCCACTTTTAAATGCCCTTAGAGCAGAGGTATCCAACCTTGGCAACTTTTAAGACCTGTGGACTACAACTCCCAGAATTATTATTATTCCCCAGTCAGCTGGTCTTAAAGTTCCCAAAGTTGGAAACCCCTGTCGCCTTCAGAGGTAGCAGGGCCTGAATTTGGTCTTTGCAATTCTCTCTCATTCCCAGTATTCCAGATCCAGAGAAGGTTCTGCTGTGAGGGGGAGATCTCAGACCTTCACGATTCGGGTGATGCTGAAATCACCTCCCGCATTTCTTTCATTTTTGAGTTGGGAAAGGAAAAGGAAAGTTTAAGGCAGATGTTTCAAGGACCCGCTCAAAAGTATTCGTACTAAAACATACCTGGCCAGGTAAGCTAACTTTGGCTTTCCTGAGTCTGGTGATGGATCATATTTGATGGAACCCTTGAGGTCATGAGGCAGCCCAGAACGGTCTGTATCTTCTTTTCTCTACAAACCATGTCGTGCTGCTACGTCACCTCAAGGTTGAGGGCCCCAAGGAAGCCCAGCTGCAAAGCCATCCAAGGAGCAGGATTTCAGCAGGTCTCATTCCCCCACCACTTCCAAATATAATAGGGAGAAAGGTTTCAAAGTCGCAATGGAACAAGTAGCAACAACAGAACGTTAATCCACATCCCATAGAGCAGGGGTCTCCAACGTTAGCCACCTTAAGACTGGTGGGCTTCAACTCCACCCGTCTTAAAGCGGCCAAGGTTGGAGACCCCTTCCATAAAGCCTTTGCAGAACCAATTCTAGGCTTCTGAACCACCCAGGGAGAACTCGGAACTATGATTCCATTGGTTGCATCAGATGGGAAAAGACAGCCTTTATGCAAGCCAAGGATTTTCCAGGCCTGCCAGCCAAATGACTCAGAGTTCACCAAGCCAGAATTCCTAGATTCACCTCTAAAATGCACCTGTTCCAGCAGGAGCCAGTGGTGCATTTCAAACAATGCATTCAGGGCAGGTTCAATTTACTCCAGAGCAAATGTAACATGTATATAATCTCAGTTGGATAATCAAGCAAGTTGAGAAGTTGATTTCCATCAACCTTTTGTATTTATTTGGTATGCACTACAGTCACAAAAGCATTTATTGGCATGTTCTGATAAAAGGTTAGGCAACTATGGATTTTATATTTTATTTGTTATGGACCAACACTTGCATGTTATAAGCATAGTTAGCAGTTTTTTAAAAAAAATAATAAGTCCTGGGCACACTGTTAACTGCAGGGCTTTATGTACCTGAAGGTCTGATCCCTCCAATTATTTGAGCTACTTAATAATTCTTAGTTTATCTACGTGTTAAGATATACAGGAAGTTTTGCAGGCCCGCCTGATCTAAAGCCTTCCTAGTACTTCAAGTTGGATCACAATGCTCACAATTTTCTTTATTCGCTTTTTTTTTTAAATTACCCAACTTGTCCACACCTCATATAAATGCATTATAAACTTAAATATCCCTTCCTGTTCAGTAATTCCACGAACATGTTCTACAGGGCAGGCTTTTAAAACACATGACTGGCTAAGAAAGCTAAACTCGTTTAAAGAGTTCAGGGTTCTATTTTGGTGAGTGTGTTTTTTTTTAAATAAAAACAAAACCAAATCCTTAGAAATGGAAAGAGTTATATAAAATGCCAATAGATAGTATCACAGCCAGCAAGTAAGTTTGTAGGCTGCGAAACAAACTAAGTATTCTTGACTATAACAAATTAATTTGTTTTATCTAAAGGGCACCCTATTTCTTTGAGACATCTTTACTGCCACTGGAAAATGTCTTCTGTTTTCACTGCTTTGTGGACAGGTATGCTTTAAGGAACGTTTATATGGACTATATGCAACATTTATAATGCTTTTTCTCCTGCATTTAGCAGAGAAATGCTGCCACAGCTTAGCAGGATTGAACCCATGAAAGCTGAAGGGAGATCAGATAGCCATCCATACCATTATCCACATGGGTACCACAACCCCCAATGTTCCTGTAGCAGTTCCTGTTCACAGCAACCAATAGAAGCAACCAAAAAGTTATTTTCTAGAGTGTCTGTTGCTTTTGCTAAAAGCCTGAAATGCACAGAGAAGACGGGAATTTAAACCGCCCCCCACAGCCAATACAACCAGAAGTGCCATTAGGTGGGGATTGCTCTGAATCAACCTATGGGACTCTCTCTGTTCATTTTACTCACCTGTGTCAACTTACCTGCAAGGAATAAAAACAACGCAAGAACTCTTGGGAGAGATTCGCCTTTAGTTGCAACAGGAGCTAAAACATCAAACCCCACAAGGAAAAGTCTTACAAACGGTTTTAATGCGTTATTTTAGATAAAAGCCACGAATGCAAAAACTTGCGAACCTCTGAGCTGCGAGAGGAAGTTGTGAGCGCTAATTTTTAGGTGGGGAAAACCCTCCTCCCCCAAAGACTGGTTGCAGGGGGAAAACCCCGAACCCTCAGAGAGATGGAATCTCATTCACTTCCATCGTTTGATCGCCTTTTTGATATGTTTTATCCTCCCACTCAGAAACAAGGCTACTGGATCCAGGATCTGGAACCAAATCCCAGCTAGAAATGAACTTTCTTCTAGAGCCCCGTTAGAATCCATGGGAGACACGAGAAACTATTGTTTTTTTATGTCAATGGCATTTTAAAACTGTTGGACTAGGCTGCAGATGAGCCCGTAACCAGGGTTATGGACGGCTAAGAAAGAGACCAACTTCATTTTGGCTACTACATTCAAAGCGAGAGAAGGGAAAGGTGGCAAAACGTTCTTGATGTAGCAAGGAGGACGTTGTTAATGGCTTATAAACCAGACTTCTACTGAAGTCGCAATCATCAAATTGCAGGCCTGACACATTCTTTTACCTCCACGGACAAAGTAATAAACTGGACAAAGTAATAAACTGGACAATGTCGCCCTTCCTCCCTTCCCCCTCCGTTAATCTAGCAAAGGGAAACAACAGCATACCCGCAAACTCTCTGTCCGGTGTCTTCCATCGTGGAGGTTCAGCTAATGCGCGGAACCCACGCCTGAAATTAAAACAGAAAACCCAAAAAGAAGTCAAGTGAAGGGCTGAAGAAAAGTCATTTGTGGAAACAGAACAGGGTTAAATCCAGATTATATTCACAGTTATGGAACACTTGGATCTTTAGCCAAGCAAGCCAAGGTGAGCACTTGGGACAAGTTCCAACTTTGGGGCACAGCGTTTTTCTCAAGATTGGTGGGTTTAAGGTGGGTGGATTTCAACTCCCAAAATTCTGGAAGTCCACCCATCTTAAAAGCCACCAATGCTTGAGAGACATTGACGTAGGAAAAAAAGAAAGAAAGAAAAGTCAAGTCTACCTTAACCATCTGGAAAGAAATTTGTTGGAAGCCCCATTTCAAGAGTCACAAAGGACTTTCAAAGTTATCACATCCTACTCACAAACCTTCGTCCAACCAACATTTTAATAACTCCCTTTGTAGCAGAGTGAAACTTGAATTTTGAGAAGTTTGTGGCTTGTTTGTGAATTTATCTGCAATAAGCAAAGAAGGAGCCACACAGATAATGAATAAACAGAAACCAATACAGCCTGCATCTCATTTCAGCACATTTTTAGGGTGATTGTTATAAACAGATTCTTACTGGATTAAGTGACATTTGAGGGCAGATTCACAACAGTTGTGTTTCTAATTTGTGGAAATCTATCCATATTGTAGAGACACAAATGTGCACACCTACACATAGGAAACTGAGAGACTGGATTCACCTATGTGAAGCCTGGTTTAGAGAACAAACATTTTTACACCTCCATTAAAAGCCTAGCCTAGAGTCTCTGTGGTTAAACTGGGAGAAGATTAAAAGATAATGTTATTTGAAAATTCCAGTCTGGCTATCGACTATTGAAGCATTTTTGTATCCTATAATATACAAAAAGGAACAAACAGTTAGATATGGTGAAATATTGAATGAAAAGGGTGAACTTAAATCTATGCAAAAACTAGAGGAACAAGGTATAAAGATGAATTGATTCTCATATGTGCAAATACATTCAAGGTATGATAAAGATTCTAAAACAGAAGGTTTCTATGATAAACTGACTTAGATAAGATTTTAACAGGTACTGATGAAAAGGTGATTAAAAAATTGTATGGATATTTATTAGAAATTAAACTAGAAGAACAAGTTAAAGAAACTATGATTGCTTGGGGGAAGAATTTTGGATATGGGATTGATTTAGAGAAATGGCAAAAATTGTGGTCTCAAAATTATAAAATGACAATGTCAACAGCATATAAAGAAAATTTGTATAAGATGTTTTACAGGTGGCATTTCCCCTGACAAGAATAGCAAGAATGTTCAAGAATAAATCCGAAAATGTTGGAAATGTCATCAGACACCTGGCTCATATTACCATATGTGGTGGACTTGTGCGGATGCTAAAAAATACTGGACTAAAATCCACATGTGGTTGGAAAAAATGTCAAAAAACATATCGACTTGAAACCAGAGATATTTTTATTGGGAATTTTACCTGAAATATATAGTAAAGACTTGAAATACCTGATTGTAAATGTATTAACAGCGGCTAGGATTGTATTTGCTAAAAACTGGAAAAATGAGAAAATTCCATCACAGGAGGAAATCATTAAGAAAATATTGGAATGTGCTGAAATGAGTAGATTGACATTTGAAATTAGAGAACAAGAGGATAAACAATTTTATAAAATTTGGGATCTTTTCTATCAATGGTTAGACAATAAAGTACAGTAATGAAATATGTAGACTTTTAGAAAATAATAAATATATAAAGATGTACTTCTTATTATATCTACAAAATGATTTTAGGATAGATTTGGGATGATAATATGAACTGTTATAAAATAAACTAAGTAAATTATGGTTATCTTGTAAAATATGAATGAATAAAAGTATAGTCAAATGATTAATAATGAAACTAAGGTATTTAATTTTTGATTGACAATATGAGATTATATGTAATGTAATTGTAATTGAAGACTACAAAATGGAAGCACAAAACAATTTGTAAACCAACTGGCACACTGTATGTACACCTATGGAAGATAGCTTGATGTTTTTATCTTTTGCTTGTTTATGTTTGTTTTTAAAAACCAGTAAAAAAATTTTTTTTTAAAAAAAGCCTAGCCTTAAAAATAGGCTTAATGAATTAACCACAAGTCTACACTGTGTGCTAAGCTACAAACATTATTTTCAAACTGCAATGGACCACACAAAACTAATCGTGAAATGACACATCAGGAGTTGAGGGTGAAAGAAACTGGGCAAAACTGTTCCAAGAGAAAACCTACTGAATTGTGTAAGAGAACAACAATTTCCTGGCACTGAATTGTGCCCCAATTGTCTCTATTTCAGAATGATTTTTTTTTTAAATTATATTCATGAAACATTTCATCTTTCCTATTTTTCCCTGTACAAAGAATGAACATTTTTTTTACCTCCATTAAAATCCTAGTCTAAAACAATCCTATGTGAAAAGTGGGTAGTGAAATAAAGAATTATTAATTTTGAATGGACTTACCCAATTCACCCGCTTTATGGGGGGAAAAAAGGCCTCTTGATATAATCTGTCCGACCTACAAGCAGAAATAGAAAAAATTAGAAGCCAACACTTACCCCAGTGAAAATTTAAAACTATCCCCTTGCTATATTGTTTCAACATAACTTAAAAGCAAGATATCCTCTTTAAAAATAAACATAAATAAATAGTATCACAATATCTTTTCAACTAGCATCGGCTTAAACACTGAAACTAACCTTCCACAAATGATAAATAATTTTTAAAATACAGATTATTCTCCAAAGTACACCCTTCTTCTTAAATGTCATCACCGATCACTGGGTCTAAATCACACACTTTCCCCATTTTATCCTCTCATAAAAGATCATTTAGAAACAAACCAGGATTAACCTATTGATGAGCTGGTCTCCAAACCTTCCTCTTAGCCTAACCGCCTTGTTGCACAGCTCTTAAAACTTTTGCAAGGAGCAAGATTACGTGCAGTCTCCCACTTCATGTGAGGAAGTTTTATTACTTCTTTTAAATGCAGCATAAGGGAAGGGAAGGGTTCCTATACTGTATGTTAGAATGCCAGTAAAAGTTTTCCCTCAAAAGTGCTGACGGAGAACAGTATTTTAACTCCCTGGAGCTTTTCCATTCGACTAGTGTCGCCTCCTCTAGATGTAAAGACTGCATTGCAGACTTAAAAACCAAACTCTTAAAAACACCATTTCTGCAAACCAAGGACGGTCAGGGAAGTAGAAAATCTGACCAGACTCAGCATCCATTTAATAGGAGCTGCATGTGAGTGCGCCCACCCACAACAAATTAATTATCTTTTTAAGATCTGTTGTCTCTCTTGCACATTTTTCCAGCAGAAACGTTATGACTTAGCTGTTTCTTACCCCACCCGGCAGCAACTGCAGAATTACAGACTCTAATCTTTGAGGGTCTTTCCTGCCATCTACCTTTTTTTTTTTTTGCACACATTTTGTCTGCATTTTTTAAAAAAAGGGCTGCAGAGGGAGGAGGGGGAAAAATCCCTCCCCAATTCCTCAAAATTCTTCTAGCTGCTGCATGCATATGATTAAAAGGGGACAAACGTATAGTTTTTATCACCAGCCATATTATATTCGTGCACTCAGCTTATTACGCAGAGGTTCCTCTGCTCTTTTACTTTTTATACTTCCTGTGTAAAAATACCAGCAAAAATGGTATAGCAAAATGCAAGAGTGTTGTGTTGATTTCATGTGAATTAAAAAGTCCAAACTTTTACAAACTGTGGAAATTTTTGGATTAAATCTGGGACCTTGCAAATTTCCCACATACTACTTAAAAAAAAAACCCAATTATTGAATAAGAGTTAATGTCTGAAAACATATAGCTGCCCTTTTTGTAAAAAGATTTTTTTAAAAACCTATAGCAAATGTAAGGAACAATTTAAAAAAAATTAAATTAGGCTTTATAAGGGATAAACAAATAAAAAAGTCTACCATTTATATTAGTTCATGGTGCCATTATTTTAATCCGTTTCTTAAATTACATTTCAATCAATTGTTGTAAAATAAAACATGTAATGACAAAATACTGGGGTAAAACGATTTCTAAAACTGTTTATTTTTTGAAAACAATGACTTACACTGTAAAAATGAGTTATTTACAGGCATATGCTATGTATGTTTTTTAAGGACTAATGAACTTTTATATAAAAAATAGAATTTATTGTGCGTGTTCTGCGCCTTTTCAACATTTTTAATACGTCTCTTACAAAATTCAAAACAAATTTCCACCTTTCCATTGCAAACGGGCCACTTTTGAATTTCAACCCACTTTTTCCAATCACTTTTATCTCCCGGACAAGGGCAGGCAAAACAAACAAGAAAAACCCCCAAAACCAAAACCCATTGCATTTTACATTTCAAAACCTTTTTTGAAAAGAAAAAAAAAACATCATTTGAAATACTTTAAAAAGTGAAATGAAACCATTTTTCTCACGGGCCAATTCCTCCCTTAAAACGTCTAAACTCGAAGCCCCTGAAGACAAATTGAAAACGTCTTCTCTTTCTTTCTTTCTTTCTTTCTTTCTTTCTTTCTCAAGCACTTTTGCTTCGGTAGAAACTTTTTTTTTTTTGCACTGGGTGGGGTGTGGGAGAGAAGAAAAGTCTTATTTTTTTTTGCTGCAAACTGATTTCCCTCGGAGGGAAGAAAATAAATATATATATATATACATACACACGTATATATATATATGCACCGCTGAATATATATATATATATATATATTTTCAGCGGTG